CGATGGAGCTTGGGAGGTCCGGGAGTGAGGTATCCCTCTGGATTTGGGGGTGCTGGTGGGATGTTGTGATCCCAGCCCCAGGGAAGTCCTAGATACAGCCATGTGCCCACCAGTCCCCTTGCTGGGGGAGCTCCGTGGGTGAGGAACCACAATGCCCAGCACCAGGCAGGCTGCAGGGACCCAGACAAGCCAAAGCCAACGGTGTCCCCAGGGAAAGGAGCCCTTGGGGTTGCCTTGTAAGCCCCCTGGCTCCAGCTCCAAAGGGGATACGGGACCCCTAAGCACCCCTCTGCCCCACCAGCTGCAGAGGGCTGGGGAAGTAGCTGGCATCCCCCTGGGTGAGGAACCACAATGCCCAGCACCAGGCAGGCTGCAGGGACCCAGACAAGCCAAAGCCAACGGTGTCCCCAGGGAAAGGAGCCCTTGGGGTTGCCTTGTAAGCCCCCTGGCTCCAGCTCCAAAGGGGATACGGGACCCCTAAGCACCCCTCTGCCCCACCAGCTGCAGAGGGCTGGGGAAGTAGCTGGCATCCCCCTGGGGGCCGGGCAAAGGGGCAGAGCTCAAGGGGACGTGGCTGCAGGGGACAGCAGAGCTCCAGCACCGTGGCTCCAGGGAACAGGAGCGCTTTGGGGCTGTGGCTGCAGGGGATGGCAGAGCTTTGGTGTCAGAGAATGGACAGAGCCACCCCAACCACTTGTTGATACCACAAAAGGGCCGATTCTCCTCCTTCTCCCCATGGTTTGAGAGCAACGAGGCGGTTGCAGGGGACGGGACACGGCTGGGGAGAGCACAGGGAGCCCGGAGGGGCTGCTCACCCCATTTCTCCCTGCACCCCAGGTCCGTGACTCGCTCCTACTACCGCAACTCGGCGGGGGGGATGCTGCTCTTCGACCTCACCAACCGCGCGTCCTTCGAGAGCATCCGGCAGTGGCACCGGGAGGTGACGGACACGGTGCAGCCGTTCCGCATGGTTTTCTTGCTGGTGGGGCACAAGAGTGACCTGGCAGGGCAGCGGCGGGTGGGCAGGAAGGAGGCCGAGAAGCTGGCGGCCTCGCTGGGGGTGCAGTACGTCGAGACGTCAGCCAAGGACGCCAGCAACGTGGTCCAGGCTTTCCAGATGTTGACGTTGGCCATCTACCAGGCGCTGCAAACGGGGCGGCTGG